TTTCTTAGTAAGTCATCAAACCCCCCAATTGTTTAACAAAGGTTACTAATCCTGGTTGCTATGTTCTCATCGCTGCTGTAGCTGCTTGTGAGTGATGACTGCATCCGGTTGCCAAGACCCGCGCTCGTCATCCTTGTACGAAGCCGCCTGGAAAATGTGACTTCTGGCCCTCGAGGGCCAGGCCAGGACATTTTCCTTTAGCTACTTGCCCAACTCGGAGTCTCGCTCGAGGATGGATGGTTCGAATCACAGTACGTCAAAACCAATGCGTTCTTTGCCAGAGGTCAATCTCCGGCTGTCTTTTTGTACACTCATTTGGCATGAGTAGAATGCTAATGGAACTGTGATAAACTGTGCGTATGAATACCCAAATATCATCGTCGCAGAATGTCGCAGATATGTATGTTTGTATGTATGTGTGTGTATATGTAATGTATCTTCTGATGCGCACGCAGACGGACGCGTGCATGACATAAATAATATTTGCAAAACGCCACAGCGCATGAAAAATAATTCTGCCAGACCGTTCTTGACCATTCCTCCTTTCTTTAGTCAAGGTTAATTCATGGAGCTGCAAGCATCCCAACATGGGCACCACAAGATGCACATCACGATCAGACGTGATGGATGGCGAAGAGCTTGCAGTTGAGCAGTGCAACTAAAACAAGAAAGTTCCGAAAATCGCGATGACATGATGAATCATATGTCAAGTTTATCGGATCATGATAACCCCCAATACAAAGAGGCTGGTATAACCCCCGAACTGCTCAGCAGTTATATTAATGTTGTTTCATGTTGTTTCTGCTGAAGGTTGCAGGTGTGTTTCTGAAGCTGTTGCCAAGCGAATCCTTGTGGTGACGGATCCTCAGGGGTCCTGCCGGGCAAACTTTTCTTTTCCAGCTGATGCTGCGCTCAGCGGGATGGTTGCGTCTTCAACTTTTTGAGCCTTTGACTCATGCCACATACCAATGCCTCCCGATTTATTTACAGGGTGGATGGCATCCACGTTTAAACATGCTGAGGCAACCAGATCTTTTGAATTGATACATGCTTCTGTACTGCACTTCATTGTATATATGCTTACGTAACCTATTTATTATCATATATTATCAATCTTTGGATGCTCAACAAACATTGTGGACACTTTCTGTGCAAAGAGATCCCAAGATTTTGACAAGACAGTTTGGAAGACGTTCCTCGACTATTGTTTTAGCATCAGACAAACATCCGGCATGCAATCTGATGAAAATCTGGGGATCACGAATCACGAATGCGAATGGGGGACGCAGATCAGTTCTTATTTGCTTCCCTCGTCGGTGGACGCCAATCAGCAGGTGACGACTGGAAGCAAACCCCGATTGTGCAACAGGTTTTTCATTTCTTTGCTGACGAGCTTTGGGAATGAAACACGTGCGTGACACGTGTCTTCTTTAAAGACCGCAGCACTTCAAAGCGAATTTACGGCGATGTAAGCTGGTATCGCTCTCACCGATGCTCGAGTTGACCCAGCTGAGCAGGCCTCAGGTCAGGGTGTGAATGCGGAGACTTCTGGTCACCGCGCTTGGAGCAAAATTCTAAGATAATGCACAATGAGAAATCCCTAGTTGGGCTAGCCACCACTGAGAAAGGAATTTATTGATGTCCGTGAATGAATCCAAAACCCCTGACCGGGCGGGGCACGCGCTGAGGTTGTGGGCCTCGCGGCCTCAAGTGTTTGAAGCATAGGAGTATGGCTTTTGGTCCAATACATGAATGGGCCTTTTGTATCAAGTTGCCATTGGAAAAATCGGAATGCTGCCAAGAGCTGATATGCGGCAGGGGAGGAATGGTATTGAAGCTGGGCTTAGGAAGACTGCTTGGCATATTCGCTAGCTATGGGCTATGGTTTTGCCAGTAGAGCCTGGCTCTCTCTCTCGCTTTCTGTTTTTTCCCGAATGTGTAGCAAGGGTTCCCGTTTCACTCTGGGGGTCTGGGGGTTGAGGGTGTGTTCGCTCGACGTTGTGTTTACGTCCGCAACCGTTCGCAACCGTTCGCAACCGTCCGCGTGAGGGCCATATGGCCGCGCCTATGGTAAGTTCTGCAGAAGGAGTCATTTTTGGAGGTTTCAAACGTCGCATTGCTTCGTTTCGCGTGGCAGGCGTGGCACTTCGTGACATTCAGACTTTTTTTGTAACGTGTCGAAAGTCGTTTTGTGTGGCAGGCGCAATAATTTTGCGACGTTTTCGCAAGATGAGTTGCAGTTTTCGTGGCAGGCGCAGCACTTTGGACATGTCCAGTGTCATTTTGCGTGGCAGGCGCAGCACTTCAGACGTGTCGTGTTGCGTGTGTTTTGCGAATCCTATTGTCAGGGCTGCGTCAAGTGGCGACAAGGTGCAAATTCCGTGGCAGGTGTGGCATTTTGTGAGATGTGATGAAAATTGACGGAAGCCTCGCAGGAAATATCGATTTTGAGGTAGCAAATTTAGAGGTGCCTAAGAAAACTCGTAGGAAAACGTCGATTTTGAAGCTACAAAGTGTGAAAATTGGATGAAGTCTCGCATGACATGTTCGTTTTGATGCTCCCACGTGTCTCGTCTCGAGTCTCTGGTTTTCCTGCGGCCTCGCCGTGTCTATGAGGGAAGCTGCAAGACCTTTCCTTTTCGAAGGTATCAAAGCAGGTTGTAATGTTGCTTTGCGTGGCAGGCGCGGCACTTTGTGACATTTGTTTGATAACGCCTCCAAAGTTGTTTTGTGTGGCAGGCGCAATATTTTTGTGACATTTTCCACAAGATGAGTGGCATTTATCGTGGCCTTCGCATCATTTTAGCGATCTTTCTCATTGTTTTGCGTGCCAGGCGCAGCACTCCAGACTCCACACTCCACACTCCACACTCCACACTCTGCACTCCACCCTTGACACTTCACACTTTACATTCCACACTTGACACTCTACACTCCACACTCTACACTCCACACTCTACACTTTACACACTCTAAAACTTACTCTCCACACTTCACACTCTACACTCCACACTTTACACTCCACACTCTACACTCCACACTCACGCTCTACACTCCACACTCTAAACTTTACCCACTGCACACTCCACACTTTACACTCCACACTCTACACTTTACACCCCACACTCCACACTCCACACACTACGCTCCACACTCCACACTCTACACTTTCCACTCTACACTCTACACTTTACACTCCACACTCTACACTTTACACTCTAAACTTTACACACTACACTCCACACCCACACTCCACACTACACTTTACACACTCTACACTCCCCACTCCACACTTTACCCTCCACACTCCTGACTTTACACTCCGCACTCCACACTCCACACTCTACACTTTCCGCTCCACACTCCACACACTACACTCCACACCCACACTCCACACTACACTTTACACACTCTACACTCCCCACTCCACACTTTACTCTCCACACTCCTGACTTTACACTCCGCACTCCACACTCCACACTCTACACTTTCCGCTCCACACTCCACACTCTACACTTTACACACTCCACACTCTACAGTTTACACTTTACACTACATTTTCATTCCTCACTCCACACACTACATTTTACGCTCCTCACTCCACACTTTACACTCCGCACTTTACACTCCTCACTCCACACTGTACACTCCTCACTCCACACTTTACACTCCACACTCTACACTCCACACTCCACACTACACTCCACACTCCACAGTCTACACTTTACACTCTCTACACTCCCGACTCCACACTTCACACTTCACACTCCACACTCCTTACTCTACACTCCACACTCTACACTCCACACTCCACACTCTACACTTTCCGCTCCACACTCTACACTTTACACTCCGCACTCCACACTCTACAGTTTACACTTTACACTACATTTTCATTCCTCACTCCACACACTACATTTTACACTCCCCACTCCACACTTTACACTCCGCACTTTACACTCCTCACTCCACACTGTACACTCCTCACTTCACACTTTACACTCCTCACTCCACACTCTACACTCCACACTCCACACTACACTCCACACTCCACAGTCTACACTTTACACTCTCTACACTCCCGACTCCACACTTCACACTCCACACTCCTTACTCTACACTCCACACTCTACACTCCACACTCCACACTCTACACATTACACACTCCACACTCCCCCCACACTTTACACGCCACACTCCTTACTTTATACTCCACACCCCACACTCTACACTTTCCACTCCAGACTGCAGACTGGTACCAGGGGAAATATGTAGAAGACTGTTCAATTAAACTATTGCAGAAAAGTGTTCTGCGTGACTGCATATCCATGTGTTTCAACATCTGTACCGTTAACATACGTGTGAGCATTCGGGTTCGTGGGCTGCATCTCGTTTCTGTCCGAAACAGTCATTTGCCAGTGGAACCAAGATTTGTTCTGTCAACAAACATTCAATGCAGATCTATGAGTTGTTTTTTCGATGTTTCTTTGAGTGTACTTGTTTTAGGTGCCGGGCATCTGAGAGGCTCACGAATGTTGTCACATTCTGTATTTTATTGGGAGTATTTGAATTGCCTCGTGGGCCAGGCTTTCATTTTGTTTCCACTGGCATTTTGAGATGTTGGATTCTGGTAAACTTGTGCATTGGGTCAGGTCTGCAGCATTGGTTGTGCTGGAGCCGCTCGTTGCACTGTTGCATCATGATGGCTTCAGCTACCTGGTAGAGATATCAAACCAAAGAGCAGTGGCCAACTCCCTTCTTGATGCTTAGGTGTAGGTAACCATAATATGACTATATATATATTTATTTATGTTTATATACAGACACATATAATCCATTATGGCATCTTTATCAAACGTCCACTGCAAGAGTGGAAGAGCATGGCACAAGGGTTTCACCGTTGCTCAATTGATAGAGGAATCTGATGCCTTATCTCAGTCATGAAAGGCCTGGATCTCTTCGGACGCCCAGATTGATTAGACCAGCCTTTGGACTCTAAACTGCCATCCTGTATCAATCCTGCGCATCCTGCTTGTCAAAGTGTTCTTAACATCAAAATTCATTGCTCTCAACTCCCGCAATGTTGACCACTTGTGCTGGGGCTCGACCTGCCGATTTCCACCTGCGATTGGGGTGTCCGGCGCCGTCTCCTGGCTGGCATGCCACGTCCATGCTTGCCGGGATGGCAGTGGCGAGCACTTGGCCCAAACTGCGCCAGTCGTGCCGGTTGCGCCGATCGGTTGGTGTTCCAGTTCGGACAGTTCGGAGGTGCGGGTCCGAAACGCAGATGGAAGCAGTTCTTGCAGCGCTACACCCTGCCTTGGCAGCAGCAGTGAGGAAGGCCATTTGCAACACGCCGGAGGCTGAAACTCTTTTGGTTGGATCCAAGGAAGAGATTGGAGGTGTCAAGGGAGTGTCGCTTCGGCAGCCTGATGATGTACCCCAATTATTGAGGGAGCTTCCTCATGACTGCTACGACCTTGTTGTTGAGGTCCAATCTGAGGAAGTCAGTAGTGCGACCTGGGAAGCCGTGCAAAATCGCTTTTATCCTCTGGGGGGCCACTCCTTCAGTCTTGCAAATGATTTCATCATAAATCTGGCGTCTATCTCCAAGGTGCTTCGAAATGGAGGCAAGTTCATCTTTTTGTCAATGGCAAGAAATGAGGATGAAGTTTTGCCATTCTCATTCCTGAACTTACCACACTTGAGGTGGCAGGTGCATGTTGAAGCGAGTAGTAGCAAAGGTGCTGGGGCAACCGTGTCAGTTGTTTGTTGCACAATGGATGCGGATGCAACTTCGAAGAGCCTCAAGCTTACCCCCAGAGTCATTGCAGAGCAATGTACAGATGAAATTTCCAGAAGGAGATACTTTGAAGCCTTAAGACCATTCATGAAAAGAGAGGATGGCAAGACACCTCGAATTTTGGATTACGGATGTGGTGATGGCTCCCTCATGTCCTGGGCAGTAGATCCACGAGTCCAGAGGGAAGATGGCCCCCGTGACATCACCCTGGTTGAGGCCAACCTGGAGTTGGCGGCCAGGGCTCAGTCCAAACTACCAAATGCAGAAGTTATACATGTTGCAGATGTTGATGAGAGTGAACCTTGGCCCTTTGTTGATCTTCAGTTTGATGTGGTGGTCCTTGCTTTCGTTCTGCATCACGTACCAATGTCTGCCAGAGCAGCTCTGTTGGCAGAGGCCCTGCGAGTGGGACACCAGGTGTTGGTCTTGGAAGACCTACCAGATGAAGCGCTGTCTGCTAATGCCAGGCGACTTGCCTGGCTCGTCACTGAAGAGCATTTTAGGCCCTTTGGGCAAGACCCTGATGACTTCATCGCAGGTGTTTTGCCCCGCCAAAGTTGGATCAAGACTTTCCAAGATGCCGGCCTTCAAATCATCGGAAGCGAATGTATTGGCCCCAGTTTGAGATATCCAGTGCCTCATATTCTTTTCCAACTGGAAAAATATTTAATCTAAAATATTTTAAATCAGTTTATATAATACATGTTATGTTGATATATTTTGATAGTAATTGCCAGTAATGTAGTACATGTGAAAGGTTGATGCCGCGACCGCTTCGCCACACCAGCACTCTAATGCTTCCCGTGACCCAGCCGTGGCCAAATAAATGATCATACCGAAATCGAAAATCAGATCACTCCTCTGCTAGAAACGAGCTCCCAAAGGACGCCCCGGACATGACTCGGCTGGTCCCCCTTTGCAGCCTTCAAGAGGGAGCTTTCTAGTCAAACACCAACATTTCGTGGCTGTCGATATCTAAACTTAACATAATTTTAAACAATAATTGGCACACTCACTTCTGACACCATATCTCCTTCGCACTACGACCTTATGGGAAGCTTCTATCAAAGGAAGTTGGGAAGCAATCTTCCGAGTTACGGATGACTGGAATGGCAATAACAATACATGCACAAAAATACAAGTGATGACTTCAGGAAGTGGTGACTTCGAGAAGCAGTGGCTCGGAGGGTGCCTTCGAGAAGTGGTGGCTTGGAGAAGTGGTGACTAAGATAAATGGTGAGGAGAAGTGCTGAAACACTGCTTCACAACCTAGTTGCGACGACATCTATTTGCAAGAATCACACGGCAGTACAAAAAATGAAACCGCCCAAAACAACCTCTACACAAATGGTTGGTACATGATTGTTTGCCTGCTGAGACCCCTGGTACCCCATTGTGGACAACACATGAAACGTGGATAGCTTCGATAGATGATCGTCCCAGAATTCATGTATATACCATTACATACCTACAAAAAATTGAACCTGAATGCCATTTTGTAGGCCTGTTTCGCCATTTGGGGGATCATCAAAGTTTTCTTGGTGAAAAACACCGGTATAGACATGTTTGGTTTTGACGAGCGCTTGACTTGTTTAGTCCTGGACCAATATCCTGGATTTTCAGGCCGTTTTGCAAATTCGTTTTTCAGTTTTGAAAATTGCCTTGAAGCTGCCATTTGCAAAAAGTATACAAAATAAAATATCTCTGGAACGGGGATAAGAAGGGAGCACGCATCCATATGCATATTATGAGCACCCAAGCTTCAATATTGCTTTGGGTATGGGGATGAAGTTTATGAGGCTTGCCTGCGCCCAGGAGAGAAGTTAAAAATACCGAGTGTTTGTCACAGTCACTGTGCTAAAACGGATGCCGAAGTGCGATTTACGGTAGGTTTCGTAATTTCTAATTTGACCCCAATAACAAATAACAGGTTTTGATAAGCAAGTATATTAGTTTCTAGTGGGCAGGTATAAGTAAGCAAATGTCCTTTGCCATTTGCTAATGAAGTACAGTACAGTTGGTTATCAATGTCGCATTGAAATGTATTGAAATGCCTCCAAATTTGGGCTCCCTTTTTCTCCTTGCCCCTTTCCCCCTCCCTAGGCATGTTGTGCCATCTTAAGCCAAACAGCCCTTCAGTAGTTGCAATGTTGCTGCGCGGGTGGGCAAATCATTGGGTGGATGCTGTCGCGGATTTTTTTCCCATAAATCAAAATTTGACCACAGTGATGGCCCTTTACCATTTTATAAGTCAATTATAACCCCATTTATGGAACTATAACCCCATTTACTGTATGACCATTATTAATCATTTAATATTTTTTATAACAGGTAAATGGACCATGCAGGAATTACTTAATGGCCAATGAGTCAAAAAAAATCGTCTAAGAATCCATGAGGTTTGTCTGTGAATCCAAGAGGTTCGTCAATAGCCCGAAGAGTTCCTCAATGTCCCGAAGAGTTTGTCAATGTTCGTCAATTTTCCCAAAAGTTCGTCAATATTTTTTCAAGTTCGTCAACTTTCTTCGTCAATATTTTCTTACTACGTTCGTCAATTTTCCTAAAAGCCCGTCTTTTTTTTCTACGTACGTTAATTTTCTCAAAAGTTCGTCAATATTTTTCAAGTTCGCCAATTTTTTCCAAAAGTTCGTCAATAAGTTTTTACCTTACGTAAATTTCCCAAAAATTCGTCAATCTCCCCAAAAGTTCGTCAATTTTCCCAAAAGTTCGTCAATTTTCTCAAAAGTTCGTCAATTTCGCAAAAGTTCGTCAATTTCCCCAAAAGTTCGTCAATTTCGCAAAAGTTCGTCAATTTCCCCAAAAGTTCGTCAATATTTTTTCAAGTTCGTTAATTTTCCCAAAAATTCGTCAATTTCCCCAAAAGTTCGTCAATTTTCTCAAAAGTTAGTCAATTTTCTCAAAAGTTCGTCAATTTCGCAAAAGTTCGTCAATTTCCTCAAAAGTTCGTTAATTTTCTCAAAAGTTCGTCAATTTCGCAAAAGTTCGTCAATTTCCCCGAAAGTTCGTCAATTTTCCCAAGAGTTCGTCAATGTTCGTTAATTTCCCAATTCCCTGGGTTTTTTGCATTTATTGACGAACTTTTTGGTGAAATTGACGAACATTGACGAACTTACAAATTATTAACGAATTTTTGGGAAAATTGACGAACTTTTGGGGAAACTGACGAATTTTTGCGAAATTGACGAACTTTTGACAAAATTGACGAACTTTTGAGAAAATTGACGAACTTGAAAAAATATTGACGAACTTTGGGAAAGTTAACGAACGTAAAAACATATTGACGAACTTTTGCGAAATATGACGAACTTGAAAAATATTGACGAACTTTTGGGAACATTGACAAACATAAAAACGTTAACGATTTTTTTAGGGAAACTGATGAACTTGAAAAAATATTATATAACGATTATCAACGAACTTTTGGGAAAATTGACGAACTTTGTTGGAAATTGACGAACGTTGACGAACCTTTCGCGATGAGACTGTCGATTCATTGACGATCCTTGTAAGTTTAAAGACACGCCTGCGGAGTCGTTGAATTGGCAAAGGTTAACTTGTGAGATCTGTTCAGTCTGGGTCGTTTATTGTTGTGACCATGTACCTGCATGATGATTGTTTTTAGCTTCTCCCATGTCTCCTCTGCGCTTTCTTGAGGGTTCAAACACTACTGAAAAATTACATGCGAAGTTTGGTCTACATGTACTGGATACAGGGTCTACCCACATTACGTGGGAGGATCTAATTTAGTGGAATTCACTTCAAAGTTTCACCTCACTGCATAGAAACAGAGAGAGAGAGAGAAATAAATCAATTCAAGACATACGTAAACCATCAAAAACTAATAGACAAACCAACGAACTAATAGATCAGTGTTATGTTGCGATATCAATGCAGTATGGCAAATAATCCAAGACATGTGGTAATTGTTGGAAGCTTGTGGTTTCTATCAGAATTTTGGGGACCTAAAATCCACAAAATGCATTGTGCGTACCTCTTTACCCATGTAAACCCAATGAACAGTGACACTTGTGGGAACATGGCACCCAAAAATAAACTGCACCAGAGGCATTTTGTGTACGTTTTGCCATGCCAATATGTGTGCAAACCCAATGAAAATCTTATTTACATTTTCAGGAAATCACAAATAAGAACCATATTCATTTTTCGCAAGGTGGGGGAATGCAAAAACATTTCAGATTACCTGAAGAAAGTTGCAGCCCAGTAGCCAACTTTCTTCCGGGCGTCTCCCAGGGGAGGCTCAAGGAAGTGAAGGAATAGACATGAGTAATCCCAAATAGGTTTTTACAGCATTTTTTTGTTGTTGTTTCTTTCCAGACATCCACAAACTGAACTCAAACCTTACACAAATTTTGGGTGAGCATCAATGTTTATCGGATGACATCTCCCAAGTAAACTCCAAGTGTATGCCTAAAATTCCGGATTCGCTGAAGCAAGAGAACCTTACTTGGCGTTCCTTAGTGTTTTTACTTAATGAGACATCAATTTAACAATGGCCAAAATAATCCTCTTCTGCGCGTAGGGTTCCACGCAGGCATGAACGAGGTTCTTTATTTGTAGGAATGGTTACGTAAGCTATCACAGCAGTACTAGCATTCGCGTAAATCGCTTCCCAGACATGGGTAATGCTCGCTTCGACAGGTCTCTTTCAAAATCCCTTCCAACTTAGTATTTCTATTGATAAATAACATGACATAGGCAGTTTGTAAATGCGTTTTTAGAAATGCCGGCTGACTTTCCGCGACAATTTAGTTTTTTCCTGAAAATTGCTGCTTATGTGAGCAAGAAAGTCAGATCATTATCACCCCCATAAAAAGTTCACTAGATACGTAGATTCAGGATCACCGACTATCGAAATCATGCATTGATGAATTTCAAATCACCGAAAACTATTCAGAGCGTATATATAGGTTGCGAAATGCTCACGAGTTCCAGGGCAAACCTGATCGTCCGCTTGCAAGTTTACTCAACAAGCGTAATTCTTTTCAAAACATCGAGGTTTATTGACAAATTTTTGGTGACGAACTTACATGCCCTGTCAAAAATATGACAGTAACATAATACTTATGAATTTTCAAAGTAAGAAGTACGCGACGCAGACTCCAGCATGAACAAGCATAGTTTGTTTACTTCTGCCTGGGAACTATAATTTATGACCTGTCCTCACCAATTATTTTTTATAAATCAGTTGTTACTCGAGAAACGGAGGTATTGGGA